TCTCCATGGATGTGAGAGTGTGGGGTCCCTCTACTAAATCAGGGGCATGTGACATGGACAACAGGTCTGTGGGTAGACTCAATACTACAGGATCTGAAGTGTTCTGGAAGCCACTTTCCTGCAGTGCTTTCTCTATCTCTGCTATAGCGCAGGTGGATGTCCAGGAGTGGGCCTTCAGGCCTCTCCTAGCCATGCCAATCTGGTCATTGACTTAGAGGTTTTTATCTTTTATATTCTTTGAGTTATAGAATTTGCTGCAGTGGGAGCAGGAGTGGGATGTGTGTAGAGCAATCCTGACTCTTAACTGGCTTAGCTGGACTAATTTCAGTGGCATTGTATCAGGATCACACTGAGTCATAATGGGGACACTGGCCAAGCTAGCATGACACTATTTGTTCTATATAGTTGTATATAGAGGGAATGAGATTACTGCTTCCCAAAGCATCGTGTGCAGGCACAGTCTCTTCATGACCACCTCTTGCCACAATATTTTAACCCTGAGAATCCCAGAACACCATGCAGCTCCCACATCAGCTGAGACCACATTGACTCTGCTTCTGTACCGGATCCCCTACCCACACTGTCTCTCTCTTTCATTCTTCCTCTCTATTGCTTTCCCCACCCACCCCTGAACCACCACTCTCTCAATACTAATGTGCTTGTTCTCACCTGTTCCAATAAGAAGACCATCGAGGTTCCTCCCAGCCTTGTCTGTCCAATATTACCTTGAGAGTGTCTTTCCCATCATCCACCTTGCCAGGATGCTGTTTACAAGCTGCTGGGAGCCAGAATGTGCTACTAGCTTCCAATCCATCAGCCTGGCTCCATCATCAGCTTTGGAGTCAGGTTTAGAGATTTTTATATCAACTGGCCACTGACCAAAATGAAAGGTGTTAGAAAAGTTTAATCTCTTCTCTCAGTTTAATCAGTAACAGAAAAAATATAAGTCAGAAACTTTAAATGATCAGGCAATACCCCTTCTACCTCATTTTTATTCAAATTTGAAGTAAGGTCTCATTTTGTAGTCAATGCTGGTCCTGGAGTTTTCACCTTCCTGTCCTGCCTCCAAGTGTATACAGATGTGATCCACAATGCCAATCTCTCTTGGTTTTATTTAAATGATATCAAGCCATGGTAATAGGAAAATTTCTAAATTCATTACATAAAGCTAGAATCATTTAAGTAACTAAGTCTATTAAAAGTTACACCAACCTCATTTATGATTATAAAATCATAGATGGATCAATATAAAACATACTTAAAAATCACTGCTGACAGTATTCAAGATCACATTTTTAAAAATATTTATTTTAGTTATATGTGCATGGGTGTTTGCCTACATGTGTATATGTCCATCACATGCATACAGGGCCTGTGGAAACCAGAAGAGGGCCTCAGATCCCCTGGAACTGGAGTTATAGACGGTTGTGATCTGCCACATAGGCGTTAGAAACGGAACCCTGATCTCTGAAAAAGGAACAAGTGCTCTTAACAGCTGAGTCATCCTTCTAGCCCCCATGATTGTGTTTTTAAAAGTTTATCACGAGTTAGAAAAGTTTATTCCAGAAAGATGGAGTATTATAAAATCTACTTCACAAGCCACCCCATTAATAAAGCTAAGGAAAACAATCATCTCCATAAATTTGGAAGTAGCACTTGATAAAATTCAAGACATATGTATTTTACTTTATTTTTTACTCAACAAATATGTATCAAGCACCTGTTCTTTTTACAGTCCTGAGGCTGCAAGTGCAAAACAGACACTGGCTCCATTCCAGCCCTCATACCAACAAAGGGAAACAATCAGTAAATAAGCGTGTAAGGGGATAGGTCACCCAGAGCATTCTTTACCTGAAACTCAATGTGTATCAATTATGTTAGTATAGTTCACACACCTCTGCTGAAGACCTGCTTCTTGAATAGAAAGACACTAAAGGTCTTCCCTTCAGAGTCAGAAAACAAGCTGAAAGTGCTCACTTGGTCTGCACCTTTTTTTTTATTTTGGGAGGTGGGGGCAGAGTCACATGCCATGCCTTAGGCTGGCTTAAACTCATTATGTAGTGAAGGCTGGCCTCATACTTGTGGCCTCCTGCTTTAGTCTCCCGAGTCCTGGGATTCACATGTGCTGCTGTGCCCAGGTTGCAGCATTTAATATCCAGCTAAGGAAAGCAGAACTGGAAATGGGCATTAAGGACAGAGATGAGATCGTTGCCATTTACAGAGTACAGGACGATGAACTGTATCTGCTTTTCATTGGTTATGAAACCTCAGCAGCTCATAAAAGCTGCAAATGAGAATCCCAAAAGAAGCAAAGAAGAGAGCTATCACAAACACTAGGGAATTTAGTCAAGTGGCTGGTTTTAAAATCAATTGCTGGGCCAGTTAGATGGCTCAGTAGGTAAAGGTGCTTATACCAAGCCTGATGACCTGAGTTCCATCCCCCAGATCCAAATGGTGGAAGGAGAGAACCAACTCCCACAAGTTGATCTGTGATGACCTCCACATGTGTGCTATGGTACACTTTCATCCAAAGAAGACACTTACTCACACTACAATTTCTGACTTTTCACTGGGGACCCAAAGTCAGGTCCCCATGCTCATGTGGCAAGTGATTTATTCACTGAGCCATCTCCCCTAGCCCTTAATACTCCAGAAAGAAGCAAATATAGACTTGAAGAAATGATTAGAAATGTCGTGTTATTTGAGAAGAAACAATATTATATAGGCATCAGCTTTCTTTAATGCATAAGCTTTATGCAACCACAAGTAATAATTTTGTAAGGGTTTTCTGGTAGCATAAGAGTGGACTATGTCTACCCCTTCATTCACAATACTACATGTGTTGGTTTGTAGGGGGTGGGGTTGCCAGGTCCAGGAACAGGCTGCTGAGGAGCAGCTTGGGAGAAGATGGCTTTGCTTTGGGCTTATACATCTCGTATCATCATCCCTGTCTCCATGCCACTGCTCTGAACCCTGACCCAGATAGTCCCTGCAGGGTCCAGTATTCAGGAGGTGCATTTGTTTCCTCATGTCAGTAGACTCAGTATTGCTGAGTGTTATGCTTCTGTCAGTTCTTCCACTGGTCCCCACTGGGGCTTTTCACTCAGGGGAGAAGTCATTTTACTTTTCTGGGTTCATTTCTGTTGCTGCATAAAACATTCTACCTAAAGCAAACTAGGAGGAAAGGGATTTATTTGATTTATAATTCTAGATTATAATTCATCAGTGAGAAGAAAAAGAGGCAGCACCTCAAGCAGATAGTCAATCACATATCCACT